ATTCTTATCTTCTCCATCCTATTGCAGGTGATGGACTCATGTGTGATGGTTATGAGGGATTTATTTTTGAGTGGTCCCAATTTGGCTTCTAATGTTAGAGCTGACATCCTACCTTGTGGCTTTGTGGTGGCTCTTGCGAAGCAGTTTTCTAAATTCAAGAAGATCTCTCGTAAAGATTCTTTTGAGTTTGATCCAAATTTTGTTGATGCTGTACGTGTAAGGATGAATGAGTCTAGGAATGGATAGGTTAAGGACATTGACACAATCTATTTTCCCTTTAACATCGATCGTACCCGTTGGATTGGTGTTTCCATTCACCTTTCCTTCCACCTCATGACTGTCTGTGATCCATCTGCTTCTGAGATGCGTAGCTCTCGGTTGATGCCAGAGCTTGACTTTATTTGTGAGATGTTCCCGTATGTTGTACGTAAGAGTGGTGTCAATAATGGCATGAAGAACTTCTCTACCAAAGTGATCTCGTTCAAAAGGGATACGTCTGTTGTGCAAGCGCCTTCTCGAGCTGATACTGGTATATTGTCTCTTCTATTTATTGAGGCTCATGTTTTAGGTGGAATTGACAAGGTATACGAAGTCAAGACTGCGACTCTCCAGGAGCGGGCGGACCAACTTGTTGTTGACATGTATGAGCATTGCTGTGGTGATATTGATCTTAGTGACAATTAGTTGTTGCAATTTTCCTTCTTGTACTGGTTTTATTTCTGTTTCAGTTTGTACTCCATATATTTTTTTCCCGACTTCTGACTCTGTTTCAGTCTCGTACTGGTTTTGTTTCTGTTTGCTTTGAAATATTCAGTTATGAATGATTGATTATGTTGTGTTAATTGTGTTAGTTAAAGAAGTTTTTATTTGTTCATTCGGTCATTGTGTTATCTAAGTGAATCAAAGCATCACTTATTCTATATCTTATTTTAAACTGTTTGGTATAATAATTTCAGATTAAGTTGTTAGATAGCAGTCCATGGTTTTTTATACCTGACTATTTGTTTGTATACTGTGCCTTATTAAGTGATAATTTATTTCTTCAAAAGACCAATGAATTGTCTTCTAATGTCTATCTATAAACTTAGAATAGCAGTTTAACTTTTCTCGATGTTTAATCTTTTTTTTTCGTAAATATCCGAATAGTCATTTGTAAGACTAAGAATGATTTGGCTTGTTTTGACAATGTTTGGTAAGAAGGATTAAGTAAAGTGAAGCAAAGCATCCTTTTTCAACTAAAGGTTTTGTATTTAAATTGCAGGTTACTTGATTATATATCAGTCTATAATTTTATATAACCGGTTATTTTTGTACAATATTCCCTTTTCTTCGTAATTTTTGCTTAAGTTATAAAGTAGGTGATGAAGAAACTAATGATTTTTCCCCATTTTCTCTATAGTATCTAATAGCAACCTAAATTTTTTGGGCCTATATATTTTGTCTTAAACCGGTTTTCAAGTAGAGGTTAATGTTACCGAAATATTTTACATTAGTAGAAAGGTTTCGCCCTAAGGCATATTATACATCTCCCGCATTAGGGACTTAGCTACAAAGTTTAAGAACTTAAAAACGACTGGGCACAACATATTTTACAACCTAATTTGTGGTATTGTTTGGGGCCTTAAGCCACACACCAAACAAAAACTTGCCACTTCTTTAAGCCCTTACTGCGGTTGAAAACATCATTTTTGACTTGTACTTAATACCTGATTGCTGCTTTACACACTCAAAATATGCAGCTACTACATGTTTCTACGTAATACATATTTTAGTCATTTGTCATTTTTCAACCCATACTTAATTAATTTAAATTTTCTTTTTTTTTGTTACTTACCAAAGCCCTTTTTGTTGACTTAGATGGACATTTTACATGAGGCCCTGTTATGTCCTGCTCCACGGCAACGTGTACACGTCCGCCTCTTCACTTTCTCCGGTCTCTGTTTATCCAAAAAAATAGTTAACTATTTTTATCTGTTACTGATATTTACGGACATAACTAAGTATTTGGCAATTTTTATTTCATTTCGTTTTTCCAATTTCATTAGTTATAATA